CCTAAGATTTCACCCTAAACAACTAGGAAAGGAGTGGAAATCAATGAAATAGATGACAGCTCAACGTAGAGGAAATTAAGGCCATTAAAAGTTAAGGGTTTTTTCTTCAGAAGATTAAAAACAATTGATACATCTCTCTATATACTAATCAGTAAAGAAAAGACATGTTACCAATATCAGAAATGAGAGAGATAAGTACAGGTCTTACAGACATTAAAAGTATGATGAAGGATAAAAACCAACTTTCTGCCAATAAATGTGATAATGCAGATGAAATGGACCAATTCCTTGAAAGACAAATTTCCAAAATACTCAAGAAGTAGTCTTAACAGCCCTATTATCTATTTTTTTTAAATCCAACATTTATTCGTCATAAAACTCTCACGGAACTTTCTCAGCCTGATAAATATATTTTAAAAATCTATAGCTAACATCATACTTATGCTAAAAGACTAATGCCTTCCCTCTAAGATAAGAATTTCTACTCTTACTCCTCCTATTCAAAACTGTAACTGTAGGTCCTCGCATACACAATAAGGCGAGATAGAGAAGGCATACAGACTGAAAAGAAAATAGTCTCTATTCACAACATGATTTTCTATGTAGAAAAATCAAAATTTACAAAAAGTTACTGGAAGAAAAATGAAAATCTACAAAAAGTTACTGGAACTAATAAGATCAGAAAGGTTACATGAGTAATTACAAAAATCAAATGTATTTCTACATATTAGTAATGAGTAATCAGAAGAAGAAAAATTAAAAAACATGGTAACTATAAATAGCATTAAAAATTAAATACTTACAGATAGGCCTGATGAAAGATGTACAGACTCATACCCTGAAAACCACAGAATCTTGGTAAAAAATTAAAGACTGAGAAAATGGAGAGATATATCATGTTCATGAATTGGAAAACAATATCAAGATGTCAGTTTTCTCCCACTTGATCTATAAATTCACCCCAATTCCTCTCAAAATCCCAGCAGTATTATTTGTATAAATTAACAAACTGGTTCCAAACTGTACATGAAAATGCAAAGTAACTAGAATTAAAACAATTTTGAAAAACTTGAAGGACTCACACTATCTGATTTCAAGACTTACTATAAAGCTACAGTAATCAACAGTGTGGTATTGGTGAAAAAATAGACATATAGATCAATAGACTGGAATAGAACCCAGAAATAGTCCACACATATATGGCCAACTGATTTTCAACAAGTTGCAAAAGCAATTCAGTGGAGAAAAGATAGCTTTTTCAACAGATGGTGCTGACATAAGTGGATATCCATATACAAAAATAATAGTAAACATGCACCCAGACTGCACCACATACAAAAACTAACTCAAAATGGACCACAGACCTAAATGTAAAACCTAGGACTATGAAACTCAGAAGTTAAACCATAGGAGAAAATCTTTGTGAACATAGGTTACACAGATTTCTTAGATACAGCATCGAAAGCACAGTCTATAAATGATTGATAAATTGGATTTCATCAAAATTAAGAATTTCTGCTCTTTAAAAGATAGAAAAAGCAAGCTAGACTGGGAGAACAGTTTACAAATCTCATATCTGATAAAGGAATTGTATCTACAATATATAAAGGATTATCAAAACTCAAAAGAAAACGAACCAAATTTAAAAGTGGACTAAAGATTTGAACACACTTCACCCATTATGTGCCTAGGAGAATGGCTACAATCTAAAAAATGACAACAAATGCCGCCGATGATGTGGAGCGATGGGGACTTGTATATATTGTTGGTGTGTAGCCATTATACCTGGAAAGTAGTATGGCGGTTTCTTATAAAGTTAAACATCCCTTTACCATATAACCAGTAATCTCACCCTAGGTGTTTAGCCAAGTGGAGTGAAAACTTAGGTTCATACAAAAACGTGCTCATGAATGTTTATGACTTTATTTCTAATTGCCGGAAAGTAGAAAACAACCCCAATGTCCTTCAACTAATTAATGGATAAACCTGTGGTAGACCCAGCAAAGATTACTACTTTGCAATAAAAAGGCACAAACTACTGCGACACTTAGAAACATAAATGAATCTCAAACACATTAATGCTTAAGTGAGAGGCCACTTACCATACGATCCCATTTCTGTGACACTGTGGAAATGGCAAAACTATAGGGACAAGGAATTGTCATGGTTGCCTGGGGGTGGGGTAACTAGGAATGCAAGTTTTTTGGAGTGAAGGAACTGTTTTATAGCTTTATTGTGGTGATTATATGACTATTTGTCATATATGTAGAACTTACAAGGGTGAATTTTACTGTATGTGAATTTTTAAAACAAAAAAAGTTAGGTTAAACATCCAGATTAGTAGCTTTTAATCCTGCCTGTACAATATCACCACCTAGGGAGGTTTCAGAAAAATTCTCTCACAGAATTGAGAGTTAATCCAGTAAATGAAAGCAATATTAGACTGTTGGTTGGAGAAAGATTTGTCATCATGACTTAATAGGTGATAGCTGAGATCAAGGAAGAATATTACAAAGTGGGAAGTGCCTTGGGTGTAGAACTACCCTATAACATCCTAACATTTAAACGGCCGTGAAAAAAGAATTATCAAATAACACACAAGATCAGTTAAGATGACTGATCATTAATGACACGTGTCAGGGCAGTCTCAGGGGATTGGTACAGCTTGTTGAATAAAACATTATGGTAACATCGCTTATAGTATTAAACAATTGGGATTAAATAATATCTGATTAAACTATGATACAGACATACTATAGAATACTATCTAGCAGGTAAAGAGATGTCATCTATACCGGGGACGCCAAAAAATGTATACAAGTGGACACTTTGGTCACCATTGCTCAAGCAGTAGTTCGCCGTCATCAGAAGTGTCTGGATGCTGATGGGAACCACTTTAAGCACCTCTTGTAACTGTAGAAGTCAAACGTGACTTGTATTCATCTTTTGTTATTGATATATATTACAATTTTAATACTATTTTCCTTTCTTAAAATGTGTATACATTTTTTTGGCACCCTCTGTATATACTAATAATGGGAAGACCTAAGACAATTTCCTATAGTAAATGCATGTGAATATGCTCAGTATGATTTCCGTAAGAAAACATGGGCAATGAAGCAGCACATGGAAAAAAAAATTTTAAATGAAACTACCAGAAAATAATGTGGTAAACTGACTTTTGGGGCTTTGGAGAAACTTAATGCTAAAAGCACTATGAACAGATCCGGTCTGTAGCACTCTGGCAGTGTTTTTTGCAATAGGAGTTCCTCAAAGAAAATAATTTGCCTAACTTTTCTCAGTTCTCCCAAGGATAACATGTAACTAGTACATACAAGATCTTACTAATAAATTACCCACAATGGATACTTTAGGGAATTAAGGCTTACTTCTCTTGTGGAATTCTAGTTGAGAATGGCTGCTAAAAATCTAGTAATATTAGACTAAAAAAAAAGGCACACTACTGTGAAAAATCATTTTCTTTTTAATCATTCTATTTTAAAAAAATGGAAAATGGTGATGTATGGAGTTGATTAAATATGGCATACAGTGTGATGCTCTATAGCTGTTGTAAAAAAAAAAATCACAAGTTTGTGAGCTCTTATATTGTTGAAAAGTATCCATCAAAAGCACCTCTGGAACGTGTTAAAAAATGGAAATAGTCTTCCTCCACCCCAGACAGTCTCAGCCAGCTGAGAAGTGAAATTGGAAGCATATATAATTTAGTAGTGCTTTTCTCAAGGAAGATGTTGAAACACTTCAAGGTAAACTGCCTAACTCATTTGAGGTTCTTTGCCTCAACAATGAATTATGTGTATTAGCATTTTAAAGTTTTTACATCTATTTTACCCCACTCTAGAGACTGACAGAAATTAACAGTATGATACGGACAGGAGAAACTCCAACCAAAAAGAGAGGGATTCTTTTGGAAGATGGAAGTGAATCACCTGCCAAAAGAATTTGCCCAGAAAATCATTCTGCCTTATTGCGCCGTCTCCAAGATGTAGCTAATGACCGAGGTTCCCACTGAGGTTAGTCTGTTGCATTGAAACTGTCTTCTCACAAACTGTTTAACAGCATCATTTAATGCATGTTAGATTATGGGGCTCTTCCTTAATCCTTCCAGTATCCTTAGGATATTTTTATTCATCCCATCTGCCTTTTTTTTCCTACCACGAGTGCTTGCCATAAAGGCTGCTTGGAATCCAAACTGGGATTTTTTTTTAACTCTTTGGCAAAGCTTTTACAAGTATTGCAGAAAAGGAAGCATATTCAAGACTGTGTATGAGGTCTCTGTTGACATGCTGCAGAAGAGGAGCTGTGTTTCAATTCATTCCTACCTGTTTTGTGGTCAGCTCTGGCCCTCATGAAAAGCAAAACAAAAACTAGGAATTTTGTGCTAAGACACTTGGAGGAGTGGGAGATTTTCGCACTCCTGAGACTGAACAAGGGAGAGAGCCCAGATCCAGATGTCCTAGCTTACCAGCCCGTCTCCCACTCCCTATGTGTAATTCTCCCCTCCCCCGTCAGGTGTGGTGCAGTGTGACAGGTGCTTGATTGTTGGCTGTGCAATGTGTGCGTGAACTTGTATAAGAAGTGGCACTTTAGGGCTATGAAAAGCATGATTTTGTAACCCAGATTTTGCTGTATATTTGTGATGGCACTTTCTACAATGTGAACTTACATTAAGTACAAAACTTCTAGGCTGAACACTATCTTTGATGCTTTTGTACTTTTTTTAAACTGTTAAAGCCCCAGTAGCCACCTTTTGGGCATATGTTTTAAATTCTCCAGTGTGCGTTTTTCCGGTTAATAGGGATCAGCTGGCTAAACGAAGATTTTAAATCAAGTTGAATTAAGGGAATTAATATGAAAAATTATGACCTCTTCCTTTAGGAGACAGGTATCCAAAAGACATGTGTCTACTAAAGTGATATATTTTAAAATATATCTTTGAGTGTGTTCCTGGCAGTTTAAAAAAGTAGGTTGGAGAATTTAGGTTTTTATTAGTACATAGTACCATTTATACAAATTAGAAAAGGTTATTTAACAGCTATTGAATTATCTATATATACCTTTATTAATCACTATTGTTCCAGCAGTTTTCAAGTTAAATGAATAATCTTATTAGGGAGAAAATTCAATTGTAAATTGAATCAGTATAAACAAAGTTACTAGGTAACTTCATATTGCTCTGAGAGAAATATGGAACTTACACTGTTCAACTAGAATAGTGTTCTGCAAAAATATTTATAAAACCTCTCTAGATACTTACTGCTACTGTAATTTTATATGAAAATAAGTGTATTTTTCAATAAAGCATTTATAAGTTAATCTGTTTAATTATATTGAGAAAAAGATATTTAGTTTCTTGCATAAATGACAAAGAACCATCATTTATTGGTTTATTTTGTCTCTACAAAACACATTAGTCATTCATCACTTAAATATTTGACTTCATTAGAAACCGTTTTAACACTTTTTCTCCTTCCTGCCATAAAAAATACAGTAATTTGCTTAAAAAAAACAACTCTGAACAAGTGTTCTGGTTTCCTCTCACACCAATACGTACCTCAGTGATAGCATTTTATAAATCAGTAAGACAGTAGGCTGAAGACTGAGGTTCAGATGATCTTCCAATTCAAAAGTGCTAATAAGCTACAGAACCTGCTTTCTCTATACCTCTCCTCTCCATATCCTAACATATGTACAACTGAAACCACTGATTTCAAAATCATTGTAGTGCTAATTAAACTCTGTCTACTCTGTTAGTTTAAATGAATGCCACTTACCTTTAGCATTATATTCAGAAAAATACTTAAGCCTCAAGGTCCCCAATAATTTGGAGTACTGAACTAGATAACCGCCGTAAAGACACTTCTGACAGAAGTAACGCATCACTTAAATAGAGGTTTCCGAACCTGGCTGTTAGACCTAAGCGCACATGGACGACACTGGTACCAGTCACTGTTCACACAGTTTACTCTCAGGCAGTCCCTGGCCATCGGTCAGCGTTAACCAGGCCGTGTCCGGCAGGAAAGTGCGCGGTGCACGAGGCTCACCAGCTCCTAGGTCACTACCGCTTTCTCTTCTTTACTGAAAGGTTGGACTGAGCCAGGCTTTACCCATGACAGGCCAGCGACATGAACACTTTTATTGTGCTGTTCTTCAGGCTTCTTCTAGGCACAAAGACAGACATTAAAAAATGACTGATGAGGAGGTTTCGGCACTGGACAAACTCGTTGCCAAAAAGTTACTTGTAGATAATGAGTAGTCGCCAATGATGACATTGTTGAAAGGCAACAATGAGTTAACTATTTCAAAAGTGGTTCTCTACTTACCTTCTGCGTCAGCATCTTCTCTCTCGCTTCATCATGTACAGAAGGGTTCCATGGAGAAAAGCTTAAGGGAGAGAGAAATATATAAAAACCACTGTGGCTTACTCATTTTGTGTTAACATCCACTTTTTAATACTCAGCAAGCTCCCATAACAGACCTTAACAAGGAACAATATTTTTTTTAAGATTTTTATTAAAATATAGCTAACATACAATATTATATTACTTTCAGGTAAGGAACAATACTTTTTAAATAGTCTTTAATCAGTTGTCAACACATGTTTTTAGATGTTAGCTAGATTATTTCTCACATAGTAATTACCCATTATTTAGGTTAGCTCATTTAAGCCTCACAAGAACCCCTGAAGTACTATTATTTAAAGATCAAGAAAGTGAGGCACAATCAAGTTAAGTGATTGGTCTGGGTCACCAAAGCCAGTGAGGACAAAAGCCAACCGTCTGTCTGCAGAGCTAAGGCCTTAGCCAGTGTGACACGCTGCCTCCCCAGCAACACCAGCGAGACAAAGAGCTAAATCGCCAGTGAGTTCTTCAGTTCTGTGCTCCTCCAGACACTCTTCCCCAAGATCGAACACCCTGGTGCTAAAGGAACCCACAATTTCCACTATTCAGTTTCCCTCCTTTCACCAATTCTGAATGTCAATGGGGAAACGGCAGTTTCAGAGGGGCTCCAGCTGAAACTGCCATCTGAAAAGTCTTGACATTTGAAAGAGCACAGTACAAGGATCCTCAGGAAACCAAAGTCACTGAATAGCTCGCTATTGGCATAATGTGCCAGTCAACGTAGGGCTTTTGTTGAAGGAAAGAGCCCAAGAGGTATCAGAAGTCAAGTTGACAAGAAGTAGTAAAAGTTGTAGGCTAACAGATTGTCTACACTTTCCCTTTAATACCCCATTTTAAGACCACCTGGAAAATGGACGCACAGGACTGCAAAGTATAGTTTCCTAGGTAACGTCCCACTTACCTAATGGCATAGGGGTCTTCTATTTTAGGTTGGTCAAACAGACGAGCCGCGCACACCTTAACACTGTCGACCACTTTACTTTTAAAAAGCTGAACATCTTTTTCATACCTGTGTTAAAAGTTTAAATGAAAAAGTTACCGACAGTCTACGTAGCTGCATTTTCAGGTTTCTCTCAAATCACAAAGCCGGTACGTACAGTACTGCAGCCTCTGGGTTGAGGGGGCTGGCCGTGTCGATCTTGTAGAACACTCTCCGGGCATACATCAGCACCTGCCAAATGTGGTTGTGGTTCCGCCTGCAGGGAAACAAGCATGGCTTCTGAGGCCGCCTCTTGCTGACTTACCACAAAAGGAAACACTCATTCACTAACCTCCACTTTGCAAATGCCCTCTTCACATCCAGTTCACCTGAGGTGGGGTCCACTAACGGGTGGAAGACGGGGATATCAAACACCAGGCGCTGCACGAGAGAGAGAGACGTGTCTTAGTGGAAGCCATGGAGCTCAGCAGACCCGTACAGATAGTTGAGAAAAGCTTCTGGACAAGGCAGCCATGTTACCAAGGGAAGAGCTGCCTAAAAAGGGACATGTAACTGTTTTCACATGTTTTCATAAAACTAAATTCTGCAGCGGGGAAGCCACAGCACCGGCTGCGTGCACAGACTCGGGGCTGTAGTCCAGCTTCCAGCCGCAGTGCGCATGGGCAGAGCGTGGCATGGCACAAGGTGCAGCAAAGCACAAGACTCCCCTCAAAAGACGACTGAGTAGACAAACATTAAGTATTCGCACAGGAAAAGAACCAAGAAATCTTTAAAGCGTTTTAAGCCCTCCTCACTGGCCAATGAACGAAGCCAGACTGTCTCCTACTTACTGGACAGTCGCCATCTGGGTAGTTATCGGGGATGTAAACTGTAAACTTAAACACACCATCTTGATAAAGTCCATGCCGAATGAATATTACTCCAAACCACACTGCAGGAAAAACACAAAAAGAGTTAAGGCCTGCGTTTGTGTCGGGAACCAAAGGTGCGATAAATCTGTTAGAAAGGGAGTGAATCCTTCTTACTTAATGCAGAGCGATAAGATGGCTGCACATAGACACCTGGTAACTTCTGCTTCACAACCAAGGTACTGAAACGGAAGCAGCAGAATGATGAGACTGTATGGGTGTAAGTGACACACAGACCAGACCACCCCACATTATTTTCTGAGAAGGAACAGCCCCTCGAGGGGCAGCTAGGCCCTACCACACAAGCTGCGTCTCACATGGCCCTGCCTGCTGCCTGCACTCTGGTTTCGTGACCAAGCTCAAACACAGGAGCCGAAACAGGGCCCCAGATGAAGGAATTAAAGCGAAGCAGGGATACACAAAGAAGCAAGTTTTCCTCCCAGAAATAAGCTTCCCCAAAATATCATTTTAGAAACGAAGCATAAATAATTCTGAACAGCGCAACCTGGTTTAAGTCCTGGACATCACATCCGAGGTAAAGGACAGTATTTGTAAGATTACTGCCATGTGACTGGACGATAGAGCCCACCCACACACAGTCAAAAGCCATTTTTGGACCGTCTTAGGTAATTAAGAATACAGTTCATGGAACTGCCCCACTTAGGTGGCATTTAAGTTTGAACAGCCGGGAGGCAGAGGGCCGTGTTCAGCTTGATCTGCAGTGGTCCTGGTGCAGCAGGCATGTACACTAACTGTACGCTGCTCCCCAGTTCACCCCACGACTCCGACACCTGAACTCCGGGCCGAGTAGGGAACGCTGGGTCCCAGAACAAGGGAAGACACGTGCACTGGCACAAAGGCTGCGCTGGCTGGTCTGGACCCCGTCGCCCACCGACAGCCGTGCCGCTCTGGCCCTTGCCGCTGAGCTGGGCGCCTGAACCAGCACTGCTGTGAGCAGACCTCGAGCAGGACCATGCTGAGCCAGGGCCGTAAAGCACGTGGGCCTGCCAGTCCCGAGCTGGAACTGGAAGCAGCGTACTGGACCCTAGTTGATAGTTTTCATTACCTATTTGCTATCACACTTATTTCTTTTTTTCTCTCACACTTATTTATAACCATTTTAAACTATCCCCTTTTTTAAAAAAGATTTTATTGTGGAATTGGGGGAGGGGAACAGCGTTGGGGAATCAGGGAAGGGGAACAGACAGGCAGACAAATTGCTGTTTTGTTCCTCAGTCTAGTTGTGGAGGACGTCGCGTCACTGGCCCATGCTGGCATGATCATTGTGCTCTTCCCAGCTGAGGCAATCAGTCGCCGGTCATTGGTCGGCCGCTCACAGCGGCTCCCAGCAGCTCACACCGGCTCCTGGCGGTTCACGCTGGCTGCCAGCCACTCATGTAGCTCTCGGCAGCCCACTGTAGCCCCGCTGCAGCCCATGCCATCGCCGGCGACTCACGGGAGCCCAGCTCCAGGTTGAGCTGTTGTTCATCATCTTAACCATAGAGGGCGAGCATCACTGGCCCTCAATGTGGGATCCGAACTGCAGCCTTGCTGCTCAGAGCTGGTGCTCCCAAGCGAGCTCTTAACCAGCTGAGCCACTCGCCGGCCCTAAACTACCCCATTTTTAAGTCACTAAAATTCCGCGGGTAATAGCAGCATGGTTGGCAGGTGTATCTGGTAATGTGAAGTTTGCCAGAAAGGCAGTTTTATGTTCTCATACAGACAGCACATTTAATGCCACAGTGGAGGCCTGTCCATCACTGCCCAGCCTCACACACAAGGCCTCCATTATAAAGCTATCGGGACCACTGCCACCGAGTCACACTCAGGCATTCATACTGGGGCATCAGACCCTGAGACCATTACAACACCAATACAGCAAGTTAGGGAGGCCTCAAGGGTCTTAAAATAGCTTCATGTTCAAAGAAATTTTTAAAATAGCTGAAATTAAGCATTAAATCTCCAAACTTCCTGCCCTTGTAACAAATGATCAAATCAAATGCCACCTGCACGCCTTCACTGTTTGAGCCCCTACGATGGGCCAGGGGCACTCTGCGGAAGTGCCCACCTGCTCACACTGCAGTTACATGCACCGTAACTCCCAAGTTTTCACTTCTGTGAAATGGCCTAATTCTGCCTTTGGAGGTCACAGAGATAAGTCAGATCCCCTTTCTATTGACAGACCCTCAAATTTATGAAGACAGTACTTCCTAAGCATCCTCTTCTCCAAGTCAGCAGTTCCAGCTCCTTCAGTCATTGACTGGTGAGGTCTGGCTTTCTGACCTCCACCTCCTGGGGCCATCTGCCCAGTCTGTCAGGATGCCACATACAAGGTGCTCACCACAACGGAGTGCAAAGCCTCCAGCGGGATGAGACCCGAAGACTGGACTGCCACCCTCCTACTGTTCCATCCTCTACGACCACCTCTTCAGGAGGTGGCTTCCTCACTTCATATAGACGAAGACCCAAATTAAGTCATTAGGTTCCTGACCTACTGTAGGTGCTTAATCAATCTTACTTTCTTCCTCTTGCTCTGCAGACAGACATGTAAATGAAAGCACACATTTCCCTTTGAATCTTACTTACCCAAGCTCTGAAGAATCATTACACTCATGTAACACTACTTAGGCCTTGGTTAAGAAAGATTATATTCCCTCTATTGTTCTATAAACATTAGGCTGATGATACTTGAGGGGTTTGAGCTTTAAGATTAAATAGCTGCCATTTACTGAGTCCAGTCCATCGGAATACATTTCATTCTTTACCCTCAAGAGTCATTCAAAATGTAACCAAATAGTTGGTTAAAAACTTACAATTCTGCAAGAAGAGAGTATTCCAGGTAGAAGGGTCCGTAGGAAGCATGTGTGCCATTTGTTGCCTGTGCCACTGGGGCTGGAGACGCAGGCTTAGTGATGGGCACAGCATTTTTGGGAATGGGAGGCAGCTGTTTCTTTGGAGCCGTGCGTGGAGGACTGGTTTTCACGTCCCCTGTTAATGTCTTCTCTTCACCATCAGATCGCTATTCAAGGTGAGAACATTTGTTAGGGTGATTGATTCTTAAGGCACAGGAGTACATGTGATACACTCTTAATCCTTTACCTAAAAGCTGGAATCACTCTTTTGCAAGGACACTCTGGCACCAGACTCAAGGTGACTTGTATAATGGGCCATTATAAAGGGCAAGACAAAGCCAAAGCAAAACATTAGAAAACTCATTTAACTGCACCCTATGAAGACAATAAAGCCAACTTACAAGATTTAAGTGAAAGAAATAAAGAAATGGTTTCTCCTGGTGGCCCTCAAAAGAGGGCAAGGGGTGACTAAACAATTAGACAACTGTACAAGACTAGAAAAGCCCCTGCCCAGGTATTCAGATACTGCAGGTCAGGTGCTAAGCAGCTCAAAATAAATAGTAGAGATGACAAACGAGTCACTACCTGATGTTAGCACTTGGGTTACAAACAAAGAATGAAGCTATTCTGTCACTGGCAATGGGTCTGATTTTGATCTTGTCCCTAATGGATACGTTTCCACCTTTGGACTATCACCAGCATCAACTGTCATCCACAGTAGAGACAAAGGTCTAAATGAGTCAAAGACTAAACTACCATCTCATAGGCACTTCCTTGGCTCCAGTGCAGCAAAGGATGTTTAATCAGTGGTATTAAAAATGTAAGGTGCATAAAATAAAAGATGATCAATAGCGGTGCTTTCATACAGGTGGAATTATGGGTTGTATTCATTTTTTGTTTGCATATTTTCAGCTTTCCTAAAATGTATTATTTTTGCAATTAAAAATAGACATTTTATTTAGAAAGATTAAACCAGTGCCCTCAAGTCTGGCTTGACCATATTGGACTGGCCCTTCCCAAGGCTTTTCTAACCATATAAATCTTGCCGTTTAGAAAACTACTACAATAACGTGTCACAGATTTCATTATATGTAAATATAACCTGTCAAGATAATCTTATGATTGTGATTATCAAAATGATTTCTATTATTTGAGATGCAATCTCAGTCTCAGAAACTGACTTTAACCAACAAAATAATTATTTCTCTAAAGTAAACATGAACTAAAAACACCAGGTAATCTTGTGAAGATTTCAGGCAATCTCAGTATGAATTATTTTGGCCTCTATCCTGATGCAAATGGTTTCCTCACTAAATGTATCAACTATACCTACTTTGCGTACAGAGCTTGTAGACATGCTCCAGAAAGGGTTCATAACGTGTACTCCACACAAAGAAATTCAGCGGTCTGTGACATCAAACTCTTCGTCCTCAGAATTCACGTTACCTTAAAATGAGACAGGAAAACAGAGATGTACCAACACCACAAGTTAAGACTTCAGAAATAATTGCGAATGAAATCTGACCCTCTAAAAAGAAACACAATAGAAAAGTATAAGTTATAGAAACATAGGGGAGAAGTTTTCAGAAACAGTTTCCTTTCGTCCCCCCTCTTTTGACTCCAGTTTCTCCCACCTTTAAATGCCGGCAAGAATCTGGGGGCCCGGTGCTTGGCCGGGATTCAGAATATTCAGTGACACAGTTCAGCTTTGGTGCCAGAAATGCAGAAGATGTATGTGGACTACAACAGTTGCTACTAGCATAATATCTAGGCATTTGACTACTGGGAAAGCCAGGCTCAGAATGCACTGTACCCACATAACACAAAGTCTGTCACTGTTTGCAGGGTTATGAGGAATTAAAGATCCAAGGGGGCTGAGTTAAGTGTCTGAAATGAGTTGTCTTAAGTACAAAATAATTCTTTCCAGTGAAACTAGTAGCCAAAGAAATAAGAAAAAAAACGGGAGGGAGAGCACGTAAGACAGTGAGGGATAACTGGGTCCTGTTGGGACCACCCCCAAGAAACGACCATTTTCAACCACTCGGAAGTATGAAAACTGCAGGATTATGTATATAAAGATCTGCCAAGCAATACATACAAATGCAACAGAGGAGTGCAAATGAGATATCAATATTTCACAAACGCAAATTCCACTAAAGCTTTAAGCAATGGATAAGAAAGCATGTCTCAAAGGTCACAAAGCCAGTGGGTCATTTACTAAAAATAGAAAGGAATAGAGGCAAAGGAAAAACAGCAAGCCCAGCTGTAGGAACAGCAACTTCTCTGCTCTGGCAAGTTCCCCCAGCCTGGGGTAAATCTGAAGCAGAGCGCCTTCTCTGAATTCCTGTTTGCGCCAATCAGAAGGCTGAAGGTGAAAAGGGTCGCAACATTTTACTCAATTCTTAAGAAGCAAATCATTAGAGAATCATGTAACCAATGTTCCTAATCAGGAAAAACGTGTTTTCTGGTAAGCCTTGAGACACTCACAGGTGGGTACCAGATCTCCCATGCCCCGCCAGTGCCAATTACTGCTGTTTTGATTTCCAAGATATAATGCCACCTGGTAATTAAAGGGATCAGGATCCTGGTTCCTCCACAAACCTGTTGACTTATAGCCAATAAACAGCAACTTATTGCTGAGAGCTCTCTGGAAATCTGCCTTGAAAGGTAGATTTATGACACACATGAAAATGGCTGGGACATCCCTTATTGAAGAGGGGGCCCCTCCCCTTGGGACACAGTGCCGACCACCGTGTCAATTTACCTGTAAGGTCCCCTTTCCAAATCTAACAAGTAATGATTCTGAGACTTTGCCTTTAAGAATTAAAACTTGTCCCCAGTGCCTCCTGTCTTTCAGCAGGAAGTATTGTCTACTGCTGCCTGTTTCCAGCAGCAACATAATCACCTGGAGAAATTGTAGCACGTTTTGCGGGAATAACTACACCATTTATTAGACGACTAGTCTACCCAGGCAGAGTATAGCATTTTCCAACAGGAGTGATACAGATGGAAGGAAGACACAGGATTCGTCCTAGTCAATAGGAAGGAATTTTAGAATTTCTGCGGGTTAGGCCGTACAAACAAAACATGATTGCCTGCCTTTATATCATACAGCTAAGGTGCCAGGATCCCAGACCCGTATGAATGATCCGTGCATGGCATGGGCCAAAACTTTGAGAGGGCTGCTGGTTTCCTACTGTGTGCCATAGTCCCTAAATAGGCACTACCTCCCCTTAGAAACAGCCTTAAATTCCACGTTAAGAGGCGACAGAGCAGGGCCCAGAAAAAAGACGAAAACAGCCTTGGTCCCAGCTCTCTGGGGACAGCTGGGACAGGCACCCTCGCCCTGGGCGGAAACCCATCTCCGCACACGCTGAGAATCTGGACAAACCTGTCTCGAGGTGATGCAAGACAGGGGCCATGTCTTGGCCTCACGGCTAGCTCGAGGCCGGCCCCAGCGAGTGAGACCCTCCGGTGGGGGGATGAGGGCCTCCGGGGCTCGGGGACTGCCCCCACCCCTCAGCCAGGGCACAGGGACAGAGCCGGGCGTGGGGACAGCAGTGGAGGGCGGGACCTGGACGGGGCAAACTGGTCGGGCCCGCCTCCTCCCCTCAAGCCAGCCTGGCCCAGCTCCCGGACAGCCCCCTGCGCGTGCCCGGAGCCCCTCGGCGGCTGGCGCAGCAGGTGCCTTGCAAACGCGGACAGGTGCCCAGCCCCGCCCCCGTGTCCCACTGCGGCCGCCGTCGCTAGAGTCAAAAGTGCCCAGCAGGGCAGACAAACGCCGGGCCTGAGAACGCTGGCGGCCTGAGTTTAAGGACTCCACGACCCTCGCATACCTACCAGTCAGCCTGGCAGTGCGTTTCGCCTCGGTGCCTTCAATGCAGTGTGCCCATCGGCTGAGCGCCGTCGCGACCCGACAGCATCTCTGGCTGCAGCGCCAGCCCAGCCTCCGCCTGCGCCCCGCCCCGTCCTCTCTGGGTGTCGGGCTCCGCCCCCTGCCCCAGGCCCGGCCCAGACGCTTCCGCCCAGCCTCCTGGCAGCAAGTGGCTCCCATACCTGTCGGTCATGGACGTTCTTCCGGGGGTGTTGAGACAACGGCACTCCGTCCTGCCAATCAAATCTACACTGGTCGGGTGGGGCAGCACTGGACCCTCCCCTTACGTAACAGCTCCCGGAGCGAACTGTCAGTCACGGAACTATCGGCGGGGATGGTTGAGAGGGAGACGAGCAAGCGCCTGCACATAATTGGTCACAGTGTCCGCCAGTCACCGTAGAGACCCACCCACAGGTTTGTGCGTTGCCACAGCAGCCATTCAGGGCGACTGTGACTGCGGGTTTTCCTAGCCTGAGCCGGGGCGGGGTGGGGCCGGGCACCGGACTGGGGTCCCTGAGAGACTTGGGGGCGGGGCCGGCCGCCTGCGTGACCTCCCCCGAGTCCGCCTCGTTAAGCTCCTCTGCCCCTGGTGGTGCGGCCAGGCCTGGGACCGCCGCGTCCGACCACCCTGGTCCCGGCGCCCTGGAATGAGAGGATCTTTCAGGTTGGGGGAACCTGGAAAAACCCTTTATGTAATATCGTGAAACGCCCATTTTCTGTGTCAAAGAGTGAAGGCGTTAATGGGTATCGATGATGGGAACCCAACTCCCAAGTCATCCCTTGGCGGTAGCGTGGCCAGAGGAGCTCTGGGAAAAATGTACAGATCGGACCCAACCTATGGAAGGAGAACGCGGGGTGGGGGGAGGGGCGCGTGCCGGGAAGCTATTCACATTTGTCACAAGTTCCTCTGGTGATGCTGGTACACGCACAAGTTTGGGAACTTCTCCCATGGCGCCGTAGCTCCTGGTCCTCGGGTTCTTAATTGGTTTTACCTCACAAGCCCTCACTTGGATCTGACGCCTTTACCGCCGCTCGACAGCTCTCCGCGGGAGCCATTGCAGGCGGAATGAAGTCTAAACTCAGGCCGAGCGAGAAGGCACGCCCGGGGCTGGCCGCGCTCCCGCAGCCCCGCCCTTTTTCCCACGACCGTCCCCAGACTCGCGGTGCCGCCCTGATCTTTCACACCGCCCAGCCTTTTCTTACAGCGGTGCCTTCGTGAGATGCCCCCCGCGATCTCCACCCACCTTAGCATCTCACACCCAGAAGAGCAGACAGATATTCTCTGACCAGGCTGTTTGCTCCATTTTGGGTGGCTTTAGAAATTCTGGTCAAATGACCTTGTTAAACTGGCAGGCAGCCCAGGCTCTCCTAAAGTTAATCCCAAGGGCTGGTTCTGAGGTCCGACGTCCTCCCCTCGCTGCAAGCTCTCCTAAATCACTTCCTCTTGTCCGCTGGAATACGCTTAGGAATGTTGTAAGGCCCTTAGTATCAGCCTCCGTCGTATAAAAAGGCAAGCAGGAGATCCTTTCTTCTGGCCCCAGGTGGTCTCCGGTGGCACCTCTCTGGGCCACCCCCTCACAGCCCAATTTGCAGGCTCGTCCACTCCCAAACCCTTCTGATCTCGCCCAGCGCTCCTCTTGGAAATCTCGTCCCTTCCCCCACGCTTCACGGACGACTAACATATTTCTCCAGCTCAGACCTCTCCCCTGAGCTTCGGATGAACGTATCCCACTGCCCACGTGGCATGGGATACTTCAGACACATCAGTTAGAATCTTTATGGGTGCACGTACCAGAAAACCCAACTTCAACTGGTTTAGGAGGTCTGACAATTAAGTTCGCGAACTTACCACCGTGCATCCTTACACGGGCAGCACTACACACACAGCTCGGTGAGGTTTCATAGCCTTGGTCTGCCGGTGTCTCACAGCTGTGTCCTGTCGACGTGTGGCGGTGTCTTGCTGAGTGGCGTTCATTGTTGCGTATTTTTGCATGCCGTTGCCAGAACATCTGAGCTTGAATTAGAACAACGAACAAACATCATATTTCCTGTTAAACTTGGCAAGAGTGGAAGTGAAACCAGGGACATGTTAGTCCAAGTTTATGGGGATAATGCCATGAAGAAAGCGGCAGTGTACAAATGGATCAAACATTGGTTTTGAAGGGGGAGAGCGCGTCACTGATGAAGAGAGGGCAGCGCGGCCAGTAACGAGCAGAACTGATGGAAATGTTGCAAAAATTCATCGTACTTAGCAAGGGGATTTATCCCACACAGTAGGGCCACCCCC